TAAAGCTTTTCATGACAGTGAGACGTATCTGCTCATAGTAGCACCAATTTACGTCATAAAATGATCATGGGCATCGAAGAACCTCCATATGGAGCTTGCTTTCACTGTGGCAAAATTAGTCATTGGGCATAGAAACTGTCCTTGCCTCAACTGCTGACAGTTACTGTCCAAACTGAACAAGAAGGACACAAAGGTGACTGCAAACTTTGCCAAGACAAGGCAGGACAGTCCTTCAAAATTCCTGCTCCACAGAAGTCTGTCAGATATTCTAGGTCTGCAGGCTGAAGATGGTGCCCAATGGTGCAGAGGCAGATGTCCAGGCAGCCAGATGTCTGTCATTTCTAAAGTTATGGAACTTGTTTGCTCTGCACTTCCTGTTTACTCAGGTAATAGTATATCCTTCTTGGGCCTCTGATGGGGTTGAAGACTAGAGAGTTACAGTTTCCACTGTTAACAAATTCAGAAAAAAAAGGCTTACATAAGAGGTACAGGGCTGGAGAGATGGCTCAGTGGTTAAGAGCACTGGCTGCTCTCCCAGAGGACCCGGGTTCAATTCCCAGCAACCACATGGTGGCTCACAACCATCTGTAATGGGATCTGGTGCCCTCTTCTGGCCTGCAGGGAAACATGCAGGCAGAACACTGTATACATAATAAATAAATAAATCTTTAAAAAAAGAGATATAAAGTGTTTAAGTTTGAAAGACATAAAAGCTTAAATTGTTTATCTAAAAAATGTTTTGAGATTTAAAAGATAGTTGTAGGATGGAAAGTTATGACAGAAAATGGTTTAGGTATAAAACTTTAATTCATCAAGATAAGATAGATAATAGAGTATTTTCTCTGAATATGCAAAATATAAATGGACTGAACATCGTGAATGTAATTCTTACCTGATAATTGTTCTCACTGTATATAATTTTACTATGTTAAGAGTTAAAACCTGGGCTGGAGAGAGGGCTCAGAGATTAAGAGCACTGACTGCTCTTCCAGAGGTCCTGAGTTCAATTCCCAGCAACCACATGGTGACTCACAACCATCTGTAATGGGATCTGGTGCCCTCTTCTGGTCTGCAGATATACACGCTGTAAACATAATAAATAAATAAATCTTGGGAAAAAAAGTTAAAACCTTTCTTCTTTACTTAGACAAAAAGAGGGAAATGTTGTGGGATATTTGTACACTGTGTGAAGATATATTGCTGTGATTGGTTCAATAAAGAGCTGAATGGCCAATAGCTACACAGGAGGTATAGGTGGGACGTCCAAGCAGAGAGAGGAAGTAGGAGGAGATAATTGAGGTGCAGAGGATACTTGGGCATTGAAATTTCCTCAGGGGTCCTGCCCTGAGATTTCTCTTAGAGTCCTGGGGAAGACGCTATGAATGGCCAGAGGTAATCTGAGGGAAAAGAATCTAAGTATGCTGAGCTCTGTCATCCATCTCCTTTATTCCTCTGAGATTAAAGTCTATCTACACAGCTTCAATCCTATGCTTATATTTAGCTCCTCTGGGTCCAGTCCCTTCTCCCCTGTCCTCTCACAGCTCTCTTTTCTGCCCCAACCTCTTCATCCTCATTCTTTTCCATCTCGGTTCCTTCCCCTCCATTTCCCGGCACTGGTCTCTGTCTCACCAGCAGCCTGACTCTTCCAATACCAAGCAAAGCTTCCAAGCTCCCTACCAGAGCAGTGATAGCCAGCTTCATCTGCAACCCAAAAGGGGAGTGAATGGAGGTGAGTGGATAAGGCCTGGAATAAGTCAGAAGGGGAACTTATGTGCTCAAAATACATTCTTACAAGTGGCTAGGTGAAATGTATGAGTCTATAATAAATGTGCTCAAACTACAATCTTACAGGTGGTTAGATAAAAGATTCTATAAGTCACTAAAATAAAACCGCCATATACCTGCAGGGCGGGGTAACTTCACTGGCAGCTAGGAAACCTGTCTCAAAGCTACACTGCACCTGGTATGCAAAAAACCCTTTTGTTCTGACTCAATTGCTCTGGAATGCCATTTAGGCTGGGAGAGAGGAGGGTCTGAACTTCATTTGCACAAGACACAAAGCTGTGTGCCTGTCTCCTAGGCAGTGTCTCTGGAAGGGTGTTTACGTTATGTTAGGAGAGAGATTGTTTGCCATTTTTAACCTAGAATGCTAGGGAAGAATTTCAGGTAAAATACACTGTTAAAAGTTCTTGGGGAAGTTATGAGCGCACAAGAAATCCATAGCAGGAAACAGCTGATAAATTAAAAAGCCGAGTAACACCAAATGTTCCTTGATATTTGACTTCCCCTCCAGAAGGATTCCTTGATCCTTCTAGATATAGCTTTATCATATAGAGCTGAATCTCTATTTCATATCCCTGTGGCCCGTAGCACTCAAGGAGACAGGGAGGAAGCAGGGCAGGTGTTAATGTGGCAGAACACAGATGAATAGAAACGGGTTAACTTAAGTTATAAGAGCTGGTTAAAAACAAGCCTAAGCCGGGCGGTGGTGGTGCACACCTTTAATCCCAGCACTCAGGAGGCAGAGGCAGGAGGATCTCTGTGAGTTCAAGGCCAGCTCAGTCTACAGAGTGAGTTCCAGGACAGGCACAAAGCTACAGAGAAACCCTGTCTCAAGAAAAAAACAAAACAAACAAACAAACAAAAAACAAAAAACAAGCCTAAGCTAAGGCCAGCCTTTGTGAGCTGAGCTGATGGCCCAAAGAAAATCCGACTACAGTGAGGAGACAACAGACAGCAGGGGAAGGGCAGGAAAGATGGTCAGAGGAGAAGCCGGCACCACAGCTGTCTCACCAGACACGGAGATGGCAGAGCTTTGCCATTGTGAGTCTCTTACTCTCCTGGAGGAGACAAAGCAGGGGCTCTCTCTATTGCCCCTGTGAACAGACGGAGCCTGGCCACTCAGCAGTTAGAAAGAACAGGAGGTGCAGGACACAAAGGACGCGGGGAAAGATGTGGTCAGCACCGGGACAAGCGACACTGTACACAGCCAAGAGCAGCTGGGTCAGGCAGACCCCTACCCCACACAGTTCTGGAGCTGAGGGACTGAGTTTCTGTTTCAACTGTCCCCAGAGACTGCGCAGCTTCCCAAACAAGGACCTCCTTCCAAAACCCCAGTCCTGAAAACCAAGGTAAGTTGTCTGTCTCGGGCGCTGTTCTAAGACCTGACCACTTAACCTCCCCAGATAGACTGCAAGTCCTTCTGATGAGATGGAGTGTGTGCACAAGCCCACACACTCCTCCACAGACCTTGCTTTATTTTGTTGTGCTGAGGATGGAACCTAGACCCTCACTGGGGGGTTCTAGGCAGGGGCTCCACCACTGAGCCACACCCCCAGCCCCTCACTGGGGGATTCTAGGCAGGGGCTCTACCACTGAGCCACACCCCAGCCCCT